GCTTAACCTTGGTGATCGGGCGAACAACTCTGCGCTGGATGTCAACTTTCGTCCATGCGGTAATGAGATCCTTCGTTCAGCAGCGTGCAATCACCACAGCCAATCGCAAGCGGCAGCGCAATCACCGCGGCGCGCGAGATTCGAATATCTGCACAACAGAGCCCGCGCAATGCAAATACAGCGGCGATATGTTTATTTCGTCACAATTTCGTCAAAAAACTCGGTCATGTGAACCGAACGGTCGGTGTTCCATATCATCTCAAATATTCGGTATCTCAAACTACGTTCGGCATATATGACCAAACTTTGTTCGTCAGTTCACTGTAGCGCACAAGTTCAATTGCACGAACCAAAAGTTCGGCGTTTGAAAAACCGAAAATTCAATTTGACGAATCAAATCAGTTGCGATGGTACGGAACACCGAACTTCGGTATGTACGACCGAGCATTTATTTTCTGTATATGTTTTGTATTGATGACATCATAAGCCCTGGAAAAAAAACCATTGGATCTAGAGTTCAGACTCTTAAAAACATCGACAAGAAAAAATACTCTTGATTTAATCAGAATCTAGCTTAAATCAAGAACCAAACCTCTTAATTTAAGCGGATTTTGTTTTGATTCAAGTGAAAATCCGATTGAATCAAGAGTATTTCTTCTTGTCAATGTTTTCAAGAGTCTGGGATCTAGATCCAATGTGCTTTTTTTCCAGTGAGCTTTTAAAGGCTCCTCATGACGCCAACCTCGCCAATTGCCCCGGTCCATTGTGCGACGCGCCGTCGCCCGTTATTCGCGCACCGTCGCGCCGCAGTTTAGCGCCCTTAAACAAGCTTAGCCCTTTAATGACGCAACTTTTGAAAAATGAACGGGGCGCCGGCTCCTGCTCCGGGGCTCCGGACTGCGACACGAGCCATTGCATTGCCCTCCGCTCAACCCCACCTCCTTTCGGCCGTCGCTCTGTTTAATCGCCTCCGTGTACACACACACTAACACGCACATACATCCTCACCAGTGACCGGATTTTATTTTTCGACTCCTCGGTTTCGAGTATCGAGGCCACTTGAACCCGATTGACAGTACCTACCTTCAGGAAGGCCCTTCTCCACGTTCAAACCGGGGGCTTCACTGTAGTGGCGTGGCGTGCTTTGCGATATATCGATTGTTATGCCACTTAAATCTATGGAAAAAGATCCATTAACAGGGTGTTCGCAGCGAACGCCTTAATAATCGATTCTTTACCATAGGTTTAAATAGCATAACAATCGTTATATCGCAGTTCACGCCACGCCATTGCTTCACTGAGGAAAAAGTTACGGGCTATATGGCATACCGTCCGTCCCGGATTCAGAGACCGAAAATTCCGGGTGCTGGAGCCGAAGCTTCGACTGCTCCGGCTACTACGCTTAATACTTATTGATACAGGTTGTTCGCAAAGAACGCCTTAATAACCGATTCTTTATTATAGTTTAAAATGGGGGGAACATTGATAATCGGATCATTCACGCCTCGCCAACGATTAATATTTTGAACAATGTAGGTACTCGGTGCCAAAAGCAGAAAAAATCGTGATCGCCCTTTGGAATGTTGAGTCTTGGCATCTGAAAACTGCAAGATTTCCATTCTCCACCCCCCCCCCCCCCCNGAGACCGCGAGCCGCGAGCGAGTAGAGAGTTTCAAACAGTTGCGTAGCGTTCTGTGCTATCTAGCACTACATGCAATGCGTAAAGTATTCCAGCGGTCTCGTAGGCGCTAACGTGCGTTGAGCGCGAGCGTGGTGTACGCGCAATGCGTGAAGTATTCTCAGAGTCTTGTAGGCGCTCATATGCGTTTTGCGCCGAACGCACTATGTTTTGCGCGCTTCAGTGACTTTGCGATTTATCGATTGATCTCCCATTTAAACGCGTGGAAAAGGATCGATAAAGGGTGCTCGCAAAGAACACCTTAATAATCGAGTCTTTCCCATAGTTTCAAATAGGAAAAGATTGATAATCGGATTATTCACGCCGCACCGTTGATTACTATTTTGAACAGTGTACTGCCGTGCTAAGGAAGAACGCCGTATGAACATCCGAGAGTTGCCAAATTTACCTTCATAAAACATGTATTAGTGACAATATTCATGCACATTTTTCTTTGAAATTTTCAGATATTTTAGATTAAAGTGCGTACGAAATTGTCTGAAAAATTTAGAAAGAAATGTTCGCAATTTTCCCAGTAAATTCGGTTTTATTCGAAGGAAACTTGGCAACGTCTGAGGGCTCATACGGCGTTCTTCTATCTTCCTCTAGTGTAGGTACGCAGTTGCCAATAGCAAAAAAAAATTGGCCCGGAGGATCTTTAGAGATCTACAGGGTTATTCAAAAGTCACGCACCACCGGTCATAACTTTAGTTCTAATGAAGATATCGACTTGCGGTTTGTGACATTTTTCCTCACATCCAGGGGAAAACTTTTTTAAGTACTTTTCAGTTTTTGACCCCCTCAGGGGAAGGGGGCGGGGGGCAACCACAAATTTCAAATGGCCATCCCCCTCATGTGTTGCGTGACTTTTGAATGACCGTGTATACAAAAATATGGACATTTTGGGAATCCCTAGTAGCAGAACAAATTTTTGTTTTTCTAAAAAAAGTATAAAAAAACATATCTGTTATCTAAATGGTGATTTAATATAAAAAAAACGTGTAACGCTTATATAAAAAAAATCAAAGTTCAGACCTGACCATAATATATGAAAAATGATAAAAGCTAGATACGGTAATTTTTTTATAGACATTTTTTTATATTTTCTTTAATAACGCATGCATACGAAAGTGTTAAAAGTGAACATTTTTATGTAACTATTATATAAAAAAAAGGTCATCATTTTCGTGAGCTTTTTGCGAATTAGAAGATTTTTTAGTATGTTTGCGAAAAGCTCACGAACATTATGACTGTTTTTATATAATGGTTACATAAAAATGTTCACTTTTAACACTTTCGTATGCATGCATTATATAAAAAAATTAACTTTCGTGCATAATCTTTATCTTTTCCTTCTATGGTTCTGCTACTAGGGATCGGAGTGCTTAAGTAAATTATCTACCTATGTTCGCAATCCACGCTTCGCTTTCGGTTATTACTCATTTCAAAAATTCACCAAGACGAACACAATACGGCTTCTCGTTCGGATCGAAAGTTGGGGATTCCGTAAGCTCACAACAACGGCGAGCTGCCAGGCAGACCGTCTCGCTTTGAAATTCATGAGCCGGGTGGATTCTTCCCCGAATGCACATCCCGCTTAAGATTAAACTTGGAGGAAATGACATTTCAACATTTTACGTTCGGGGGAATTAGGTTCTGTAAATTGGGGAGTGCAACGCGGCACCGAAAAACGCAGTAAATTCCGTCCCGAACCTTTCGGAAAGCAGCGTTCGGTGTCATAAAAGAACCGGCGAGCACTCCCGACATTTGAATATTTATGCCGATCGATAACCATTTGAATTCGAGGCAAATATATATTCTACGATGGAAAATATAGCTCGCTCTAAACGGGACGTGAGGGCCATGAAAAATGGAAAGAAACACCTTATGACGGCAAAACATGTAATAAAAAATAATTTTTAAGGGCCTAATCCGTCCTTTCTTAGACGAGGGAACATAACTGAACCCCAGGTTGCAAAATTCACTCAAACTATGCAGTTTTATGATGACTTGGAGAAACAACGCTATGGTAAATTGATGGTGAAAACCTGTGTGAGACACTATGAGTGCTGCGGGAGGTTCCCACAGTGGAAATTTTCCGTGGTGAAATTTACCATGGTGACAATTCCCTTGGTGCTCTCCGTGGTGCTTTCCGTGGTGAAATTTTCCATGGGAAACTTTTTCGTGACCAATTTTACGTTGAGAAATTTTCCGCGGTAAACAAAATAGAATTCCATAGAAAATTTTTAGCAGGGTACTTCAGGGGTTGATAATAAAATAATCCCGAAAATTGAGGAGAGCCCTGAGCCCTCGGATAATTTTTTTGCAACGTCTGGCATGGAAATGGTAGATTAAGCGTTGAAGCTTTTTCACTACCATTTTAAAATTGTCCTCCTACTGATCGACCGAAATGCCCGACGAAATAAAAAAAAATGTCATTACTTTTTGTGGAAGCCTTTTCCGGCTCGCGTGGAACTGTGGAAAGCAAGGAATTTTATGAACTCCCAAACTAATTAATTTTTTACAAGAATATAATAATGCGATTTCTCTCTAAACTCTCATTTTTTCCTGCGAATAGAGGAAAAATTAGTCAGAGCATCAGTTAAAAATGCCGAAGAGTTCATCAATGTTTGCGGTCTGGGAGCGGGAAATTATGACAAAAAATCAGAAAATGATTGAAATGTCATAAGAATTGATGTTTTTATGTTTGAAGCGTCCTGATTTCAAAGATCACAGTTTTACAATATTTTACAATCTAAGATGGCGGCAGGATCGTTTATCTATAAAATCTGCAAAACAAAATTCAGGAAAATTTTAAAACGTCTAATGAAATTATAATAATATATGCATGATTAAGAGCCGCCCTCATGAATAAACGTCGAACACAGCGGAACAAGTTAATAGGGTGATAATGTGCATTTTGCATTCTTTTGAACTTTACTTACCTCGGAGGAGGTGAGGTTCGCCACCGTATATCTGATCGAGAATACATGTATTTAAGGTTCAAAGAGTCATTTTACACGTTGCTGGAGGTTGTAAATGAGAATGACGTGCTCCTGCATTTGCATTACATGCAACATGGATGTCCCTCAAGTACGGCTAGTTGCTGCATCCGGGCGCTACTAAGCTTGACGCACTGCACTGCAAAGCACTACAACATATATTTTTATTACTGTTAGTGTTTCTATGCTTGATCTGAAAAAATACTTTGAATGAGTTTTAGCTGAAACGCACACCTTTCATAACTTTATTCTATGCATTGTTCACTGTATGTGCCCTATTTTAATGAGTCTCTTTTTCTCATGCCGCTCTGGATATGCAGTCTCAGAGAAAGAAATCCGACAATGGTAAGTTATAGATGTAACATTGACCTATTTAAAATTCATCAGGTTACACTTGTTTGTCTTTTTTAAACTTCTTTTCATTTTTTTTTTTTTTTTTTTTTTTTTTTTTTTTTTTTTTTTTTTTTTTTTTTTTTTTTTTTTTTTTTTTTTCTTTTTTTTTTTCTTTTTTTTTACAACAATTATTATTTAAAGTAATTATTTCTAATGGGTTTGTTGCAAAATGTTGCAAGGGCGAAAAAAAGGAGTTACTTCTAGTTTAAGATAGTTTAAAAAGCACAATGATGGAATAGAGGAAGTGTGAAATTCACTTTCAACTTCAAAACCTGCATGCGAACTTTCAGTATTTTTGAGCTTGCCGCTGAATATCCTACGAATTACAAGGTGGAGGTTGCTCAGTACTTTCAGCCACTGCAAGCGTCAAGTGTCAACATCAACGACACCACTAATAAATTTAATTTTGAAAGATCATTTGAACGTATTTCTGCCAGACGGAACTATGTGCATTAAGACATGAGCCCTGAGACCTGTAAGATTACATGCATGGCAGGGTTCACGTCATAATGCACATAGTTCCGTTTGGCAGAAATACATCAATTTGATGGGAGCTAAAGTCTCTTCGCCCACTGCCGCAGTTTAGAGGAGTTTGCTTTTCTTACAAGACACCGAAGCTAAAGAAAATGCAGCTGATAGTCGTCAGATGAAGTTGACACCACCAACTTTGACCAAAGTGAGGAACTTTAAGTTAGAGACAAACTGTTCAGAACTTACATTCCTTCTCTCTAAGTATGCAATTTATCTTGCTTCGACGGTTATCAGCCAAAACTATTTCAACTCTCATGTATTTAATTACCCCTCAGCATACCTACTTCTTATTCTAACAAGGTGGTAAAATAGTGCTGGGTCCACACTATTTGTGAGGGGGGGGGGCATAGCAAAAAAATTCCAAAAATGTCAATTAGAGTCCACCCCCCCCCCCCCCCGACCTTAACTTCGTATTCAATCGCAACTGCATGAGGTAAGCACTGCCGTGCTAAGGAAAAATCCCGTATGAACAGTCGAGAGTTGCCAAATTACCTTCGATAAAATTTTTATTTTTGAGGAAAGTTGTGAATATTTTCCCTTGGTATTTTCAAGAACTTTAGGTGAAATGACGAACAATATTACTTAACAAAATTGGAGGAAAATATTCATGACTTTATTCGGAAATTTTTGATTTGTTAGGTGAAATCTGGCAACTTCTGAAGGTTCATAAGGCGTTTTTCCTTAGCACGGCGGACTCTTCCCCCTTCTTCTTATACTGATACTCATTGGAGCTCAAACATTTTGGCGCTTATTGTAATTTTTTGGCTTTACTTTCTCCGTCAAATAGTATGGGCCCAGCACTATTTTACCACCTGGTTACGCGCAGTTCCTTCGGGTCACATTTTTAGCGTCATTTCTTGCTTCTTATTTTAACAGACTTTCAATTTTTCTTTGTTGCAGGCACAAAGGATTTCTAAAAGACTGCCCGAATGGCCTTCTAACAGAAGAGGTTAGTTGTAGTCCGAAACTCATAAATTATAAGATTTTGATCTTCATATGCGCCCGCTTTTTAGCCTGACCGGCTGTCATGGGAAGAGAAAGAAAGGGGAAAATGCATTTTTAAAGGTAGCCTTAAAAATAAAGAACTAGAGTAAAAAATGAATGGTGGGTTTGCGAGCTGTAAGACGCAAGCAGGCTCGAACATCTACTCTGATAACTCCCCAGGTAGCAGAGGTTGCAACAAAATCGTTTGGTTCTTGCAACTAATGGATTGATGTGCAGATTGCCTACTCTCTCCCCCGAAGGAGCTATCATTGTTGCAACTAGTTGCAATTAAGTTGAAACATGTTTCAACTTCAAAGTATTGCTGGTTGCCTATCCTCCGATTTTAAACAATTTTGGTACAGCAATCTTGCAATCTCAACAGGATGCAACTTTGTCTTTCGATCGGATCGCCGAAATTCGGCACTTGTCGACCATAAGTTGACCGAAAGTTGCAACTTAATACCAACATTGTTTCAACTTCTTAAAACTGTTACATGGAAAAATGCTTCTTGGGTCTATTCTTTTTTATCTACTCCTTCAACATCGCCTTCTTCTCTTCGTCTTCCATCATCTCTTTCTCTTTCTTCTATTTCTCATCTACTTCTTCTCCTTTTTGCCTCTCTCATTCTCATCTTCTTCATCATTTTCTTCCTCGTATCCTCCTTCCTCCCTTGATTAGTCTCTTTCTTCCAATTTCGCACACCTCTTTACTTGACGTATGCTCGGAGTGCTTAACCATTGCACATAAATATCATTTCAAAGCTCTCAATGACTGGTTTGTGAAGTGCTATCCAGTTTATGGACGGTCTTGAGGCGCCTCCATTCCGACAGAGAGGATTAAGTACCTGTCGGGGCGTTGAGGCGGGAAGTTGCCTCACCGCTCTCATTTCAACGGATACTGCCCGAAATGTGGAAGTGGTAGTAGCTCCTTTCGTTGGTCTATGAGCTTGAGACGATGCGCTAACGCCTGCATTTTTGAAGATACCACCGGAAAAGCACCACTTGACTGATAATCGACCCGACGATATCCGAGTCGCGGTCTGGGAGGAGGGTAAGTAACGCGTACGTGCTATGATTATAGCTTTGAAAAACAACGTCTAAGTAGCTGTTAGTAACACCAACGACGACGCTGCAATTTAAACAACTCCAGGGATGGAGTTGCGGAATCTAAGTGCGGAACGTGTCAGAGTGTACAAGGTACCCACTTTTTTCCTCGGCTTCCAAAATGTTACACTGAAAAAAAATTCTCGGCGTTTTTACCAAGGTCCGTTGGTACCTTTACCATCTCACTTGTTTCACCAATTGTTGGTAATTTTTATAAGACAGGCTGGTAAGCTTACCTAAAAACCGGTATTTTCACTGCTTTTCTCAGGTAAGAATACCACTTTTATTGGTAATCAATTTCCGGTAACTTTGACATTTTCTCTCGGTTATTCTTCCACAGTCGAAAAAAAATATTGGCATTTTTGTCGGGGTCCGGTAAAATTTCCGAGAAAGTCAATAATTTTACCGAGATTTCTCGGTAAAATTACCAATTCCATAAATGGTAATTTTACCAAGGAAAATATGGGATCAAATAGAACCCCGAATTCTTGGTAATTTCACCCTTTTCTTAGTAAATACACCGAGATTTTTTTTTCAGTGGAGGTAAATCTTCTTTAAAATCTGTATGTCGAAGGCAAATAGTCAAATCAGACATTTTATCAAATGGCCGGGCAAATAGTCAAATATTCTTTCTTAGATTAAAATTTTGAATGTTTACCCTAATTTTAGACAAAGTAATTCGTTGCTCCTATGAGGAAGAATTCTCTGTAAAAATATGCAGCATACAGTAGTATTTTAAACGATTTTAAGATCCTGAATGCACATTTTTTATGACGTTTTCAGCACGTCATAAAACATGACATTTTTAAAATTTTAACATTTAAATTTACTAAAGCCGTGTAAAAAGGAAGGAACGAGGAGAGTTCACGGATTAAAAGAGTTATTCTCCATAAAACACTGAAAATTTGTGAACTCCTCGACTTAAAGTTACAGAATTCCGTAAACTGTCAAAATTTGACTACCAGCCTAGGCATTTGATAAAATGCCTAATTTGACTAATTGCCTTCGACATATACACCAAAATAAGTCAGGAAAGTTAATACTTTGTTAATATTTGTTCTTATGTGTAAAACCCCGATGAAGGTTATGTTAGCCGCAATCCATCGGTATGTGAGTGCTTTAATTTATACTTATTTCAAGCATCTAGGCAAATATTCATTTTTGTTTTATAGTTAAAAGAAAGGAGAAGTAGATTTAGAAGAGGAGAAAGTAGAGGACGCTATAAGAAGAATTATAAGAAGAAGAGAAAGAATAAGAAGAAGTAGGTAAAGAGAAGAGAGTGAGGAAGGTTTCAGGACATTTTGTCTACGATTTTTTGTCCGCGCACCTTTTTTGTCCAGTAGTTTACGCCCACACGAAAAATAAGCAACAGTAACTTGGTCCAAGCGTTATATTTTCGTCTGTACGTAAAATTATATTGACAGTATGGAAATGAGAAATTGAGAGAGAAGGAGGTGTTGTTATGGTTGCTCATTTTCTAAATGAAATGTTAGTACTTTCCCCTTTTGAATCATCTTTTTAAATTCTCATTGGTGAATATTTGGTTTTATTTCTATCCTTAAAATATTCGATGCACAATATACCTTATACATGCATAGGTGCTTTTTTTATTTTTTCTTTTTTCTTTACGAAATTATTACTTCATTTTGAAAACATTTATATTTTTAAAACGTGACAAATATCTGTAAAACCTTTTCCAAGCGACGTTAATCTCAATGAGCCGCAGTTGTGCCGACAGACACAGCAAAAATGAATAAAAGAGGGGAAAAAACCAAGAGGCACGCAATCTTTAGTTTTAACCCATTTGTACATTGATCTTTTAGAGTCAAATACGTCAAATTTTGAGCGTTTCGTCGTGCGTACACCTGGCTGCAACACAATAAAAGCACAAAATGTAAAAGAAAAAATTAAAGTGCTTTGGAAATCAATAAATTTGACACGGAACCACCAATATTTAAAAAAACACACATTATATTATTATTCTTCTTTGATAAATTGAAACATATTTTTCCCCATCAATTTAAATGAGAATAATCAATGCAGAGTGTGCAAACATTTCAAAATCATGAGTTAAAAAACGCTGACTATGCGAGTATAAATATGAAAGCCGAACAGAGCGGAGCGGCGCGTGCTGCCGGCGCGAGAGGCTCACTGGCGCCTACAAACCTAAGTGGATACTCCACGCATTGCACAATGCTTGAAGTATCCACTTAGGTTTGTAGGCGCCAATGCGCGTTCCGCGCTGGCCGCTCGCCCTGAAAGCAACTATTTCAGGTGTTGCACAGTATTAGACGAAATTGAACGTATTAAGAATGACAGGCATCCTTTAAAAGTACAGATCTTTCCTCGCAAAATAAATCCAGATACTTATCGTGCACAAGAAAAATCTAAGAGCCTTTAGCTGAGGCAAATGTAGAGGTTTATCCGGTCCAGGTATAACAAGGTGGGAATTTTTTGAAAGATAATTAAGTCCTGTTACACCAAAGAGGTGTAGAGAGTTTTAGTGAATTTTGTCTCATGGAATTGACGCTCCCCCATTTTTACCATTTTTATTTTAACTATATAATATTCTCCGTTGGACCAAACGGACAAAACAAAAAAACAAGCAAACCCTCATTCTTCCAAGACATTATGCATTTTCATCCAAAAACGTCGTGAGCAATTGTCGTTTGTATTTACATGTGGGCCAATTAACTTTGGGTCTCAACTGGCACGTGGACCAAAACTCCGCCGAAAAAACGCGTGGACGTAAATTACTGGAGAAAACAGGTGCGCGGACAAAAAATCGTTGACGAAATGTCCCGTAACCGTGAGGAAGAAATACATAAGAAGAGCTAGGAAAGGAGATGAAGCAGAGGAAGAGGGGGCCGTAATGAGAACTTGAAGAAGAATAAAGGATGAGGGAAATGACGAAGAATAAAAGGAGGATGGGGCGATAAGGAGAATTTGAAGGAGAATGAAGGAGGAAGAAATGAAGAAGAGGGGAATATAGTGAAGAAAAATGAAGGGAGAAGAAGAGGAAAGAAAGTATTATCTTTTATCTTCTTTTTAATGGAAAAATCCGAAGAGGAGAAAGGAATGAAAGACAAATTCATCTCCATTATTTTCCTCCTCTATTTTTTTCTCATTTCCTCTCTCGTTTGTCCCCTTCATACAGTTCCCTCTCTCTTTCTCATTTCTACTTTTCTCCTTCTTCCTTCAATCCTCTTCAATTTCTCATAATTTCTCCTTCTTTTTTCCAATTGTCCTTCTTCTGTCTCTTCTCCTTACTATTCTCCTCCTATTTCTTTGCTCATTTTTCTTCCACCTCTCGTTGTACCTCACTGAAACGTGACGGCTGGTGAAAAATACACAACCGAAAATACCGAAATGATGAGAGTGAGTTGTACCGAGGGACCAATTGTAGAAATGACGGAAAGGATACAAAAAAAGGGAATAAGGTTTTATAATGAGAGACAAATGAAGACGAAGAGCCGTAGTCACCCCCCCCCCCCCCCATTGCCTGGACTTGGAAAGTTGGAGTTAGATTGAGAAAATGAGAAGAGAAATATTTGAGGTGACTGCAAAAAATCATTTAATCATTTGGAACAGGTGTGTCTGAATGCGAGAATTAACTTGCCTGTGATTGGTCGGTTGGCGGGGCAAGTGTAATTTGTCGGGAATGCTGCCGCCGTATTTGCATTGCGCGGGCTCTGTTGTGAATGTGTTCAAATCTCGCGCGCCGCGGTGATTGTGCTGCCGCTTGTGATTGGCTACGGCGATTGCGCGCTGCTGAACGAAGGATCTCATTACCGCGCGGACGAAAGTTGACATCCAGTGCAGAGTTGTTCGCCCGATCACCAAAGTTAAGCTACATTGATCGTAGCGTTTGAATGGGAGACCGCTTGGGAACATCGCAATTTTAAATCAGTTTACGCGTTTTCATTTCGTGAATTGGTCTGATATGATTTGAGAATGTCGAGAAGTTGATTTCTAGAAATGTTTTTAATTGTTTTTATTTATTATGAAGCGGAAATCAGACACTCCCTTTCTCCTTTTTCTTCCTCTTCTCGTCTTTGTTTCTCTTCTTTTTCCTCATCTCTTTCCTATCATTTTCGCCTCTTTCGATCTTCAAATTTCATATGCGTTACCACTACTACCACCTATCTGACATACGTGATATGTCGACGGTGTAAGTCGGAAATCACATAACTCGGTTTGCAGCGTCTCAGACTTCCTGTCATACCTTCCTGTCATTATTTTTTAAACGGAAAACTAGTGAACGGCAAATCTCTAAAACTTCCGTGATTTTTTTTCACTGGGCGAAAAAATTCTGCATAAACTTCAAGGAATGATGCCAATTCATCCTCCTTTAAAACAAATAACATAGAGGCGGAGATTTTCAGACACCGCAAACGAGATATGTGACTGCGGACTTATGCTGTCATGGACCACTAGACAAGGTACGAATTTAAGCATTCTGATACATATTTCTTAACTAATATTACACGTAGACCACGAAATTTACTGAAACCAACTCCTAACGAAGCTATTAACATTTTTATTTCACATTGGTTACGAGGACTTTGAACTGCCCGCTCACAAGAAACTCAAAGCTCTTCGTGAGTCAAATCGCGCACTGCAACGGTTTTAGCCAGCTTCTCAATCGAGCAATGTTCATTTCCCACCATGTGTTGTTCAAAGTATTAACAATTTGCTATAGCTGAGCCAAAGCGTCAAGATTGAGGTTGCCAGATTTTTATATCGCAGAGACTGTCATGGTAACGTTTAGCGCGCGATGTGAATCACGTAGAGCATTGAGTTTTAATGAGCGCTGGGTTTGAATTCACACATCAGGAATCATTTAATATCTTCGTAAGGAGTTCATTTCGGTAATTTTCGTCGTGCGCATCGTGTTTTACGTGAAATTTTGGTTAAGAAGCAAGTATCAGAATGCTGAAATTTGTACCTTGTCTAGTGACCCATTAGCTTAAATTATAAGTAATGTATATAGAAGTAAGAACAGATTAATTACTTAATATCATAAGAGTATACGTCTTATAATAATAGTATAAATGCGCATAGTTATAAATATAGTATAAAACATGTATCAGAATGCTGAAATTCGCACCTTGTCTAGTGGTCCATTCTAAACTATTGCAAGCCGTACATCTTAATTCAATATACTCCTAATGTAGATATCACCTCTTCTCTCAACGCAATCCATTTCTTCCCTTTCAACTTTCAACGCTGGAGACTACCCTCTTCCGAGCGAGTAGTTGGGCTGAAATTAATGACCCCCCTGGCCCACTCTCCGCCGCTCCCATGGCCGTCTCATCCTTATCCACGGCGACTTATTTTAATATCTCCACTCGGAGCTCCGTTCCGGCGAGACCGGTAAATCAAGAGCTGTTGCTTCGGTGGCTCGTAATATTAACCTTAACAATCGTGGCCGCGCGGCTAAGTGCTCTTTTCGCTCCCGAGCTTCAGTAATTCTGAATTTAAGCTTGACTTAATGAAACCATTACAACTATTCACACCTCCTTACGGACAGGGTAGCCTCGAGTTCTGAGGGAGGAGGACAAGTGAAAATTGGAAGAAGAAAAAAAGAAAGGAAGGATGACCCGGTAGAAGGAGGGAAGAAGAGAACGGAGAAGAGGAGAGAGGAAAGAGGGGAGGAGAATTAAAAGGATAGGTACACTGAACAAAAATTCTCGGCGTTTTTACCAAGGTCCGTTGGCACCTTTACCATCTCACTTTTTTTACCAATTATTGGTAATTTTACAAAGACAGACTGGTAAGCTTACCTAAAAACCGGTAGTTTTACTGTTTTCTTCAGGTAAGAATACCACTTTTATTGGTGATCAATTCCCGGTAACTTTGCCATTTTATCTCGGTAATTCTACCACAGTCGATAAAAAATATTGGCGCTTTTACCAAGGTCTAGTAAAATTACCGAGAAAGTTCAATAATTTTACCGAGATTCCTCGGTAAAGTTACCAATTCCATAAATGGTAATTTTACTGGTTGTTTTACTGGTAGTTTTACTGGTTTTAATGGTTAATTACCAATTCCATAAATGGTAATTTTACCAAGAAAAAACTGGGATCAAATAGAACCCTGCATTCTTGGTAATTTTACCCTTTTCTTAGTAAATACACCGAGATTTTTGTTTCAGTGTAGCCTCGAGTTCGGAGGGAGGAAGACAAGAGAAAATTGGGAGAAGAAAAGAAGAAAGGATGAGCGGGTAGAAGGAGGGAGGAAGAGGATGGAGAAGAGGAAGGAGGAAAGAGGGGAGGAGAATGAAAAGGATAGGGAGAAGAGGAGAAAAATGGATTGCAAAAAGGAACCAAGAGCGTTGCAATGTTCCTCAGCTTGTGCAACTTCTTTTGTCTTGAAAGAAAAACCTGATCATTCGTAGACAGTTTCTGTTTTACACCCTAAATAATATAAATTTAAGACAATAATTACCACGTAAATTTCATATTTTTGCACCAATTCAATAGTATTATTGCGAAGTATGAAGTTACGAAATCTTAGCAATATTGCAATGCTCTTGGTTCCTTTTCGCAAAATGTAATCCAAATGATCTTTTAGGAATTAAAATGAATGACCCAGGTGCTGCTTGATGCAAATTTTCGAAGAGGTAAAGGCATTTTACCAGAATTTACAGTCGGTTCATAACCGGAAAAGAGACAATGTTCTCCTTCATTGTGTGGATGTGCAACTCCGCCTGTTTGGAATTCGAATAGTTGTACCAAGCGCGTTTTATCCCATCCATCTTTTCTTCTCATGCGTTAAAGTCTCAGAGTCTGCCAAAAAGAAGCCAAGTTCGCCTTCATTTTTGTGAACATGCAATTTTACCTGCTTTGAAGTCGAAACAGTCATATCACACGTTTTATCCCATTCACCTTTTCTTCTCGTGCGTTAAAGTCTCAGAGCTTGCCAAAAAGAAGTCAAGTTCGCCTTCATTTTTGTGAACATGCAATTTTACCTACTTTGAAGTCGAAATAGTTGTATCTCTTCTTTACCTATCTGATATATCTACTCTGCGCTAAGGTCTCTAGACTAATTATCCATGAACACATCAAAACTAGATTCACCGCACGCTGATTATAACTATTTTCCCCGGACAGTTTTAGTTCTAGCTGATCAGTTGCATTCAAAACTAGTTCCAGCAGTGAGGGTGAGGACTTCAGTTATTTCTAGTTTGAAGCGGTCAAAAGTAGCCCCGCAACAAAAAAGGTTTTTGATATCTAGTTTTGAGGAATTCCGGGTCTTCCTGTAACTGCGAGTAGAGAGATTTTCACCTTGTATTTCGGATGTGAAATCCAAGGTAAAAATCTCTCTACCCAGTAACATGAATTTTGATCCAGGCAAAATCTCTGAACGTCTTACTGTGACGGTACTTAATTGTTTACTCTCGTTTGTTTCAGGGCTTCATCAAAATTTACCGTCAATTTTTCCCTCAAGGTGACCCCACCAAATTCGCATCCCTAGTGTTCAGAGTATTCGATGAAAATAACGTGAGTACCTTTTATTCTTCTTCTTGCCTCAGATTTACATCACTACACATATACATTCAGTAGCGATTTTGCAAGTTGGCAACGCTGTTTTAGCGGCTCTGGTGCTTGCACTATAGAGCTGCTATTCCGGACGGTCCCAAATGGGGAGTATCAACGGACCATGTTACATTGGAGAGACCGCGTGTTGGTTGATGGGAATCGGCGCCATTTTCTGCTGTTTAGGGGGGACTGATTTTATTTTAATTGATATCTTTTTCCTGTGAGCGAATGCTATGTTGTGTAGTGTATTTTTGGAATCATGGTGATACTGTCAATAATTCAAAACGGGTCTGTGCTTTAATCTCGCACTGGAAAAAATGTACTTTACGTTTAAAATTTGAAAATTCAAATCTATAAGTTTTCGCGCTTTTTTCGAAGAATGCCGTGGTTGGAGCTTCCTAGTCATACTACTCGACATCAGCTGATGGCAAACAAAGATTACCAAGGAAACCGTAAACGCGTAACAACTACCTACCGTCGCCAGAGCCGCTTTCCGACGCGAATGCGTTGGAGCTTCCTGCTTGTTTTCCTCTGTTTGAATCCATTGAAAATATCGATATCAGGTGAGGCAAGTGGCCTCATCAAGAATCGATTATTTTATTCATTACCGAGTTTATTATGTTTACTGAGCCAAAGTATAGGTTTATATAAAAAATTACCCTCCCAACGTTGTTGATTTGCTCGTTTCAGGCATTTCAAACGAGTCAGAGCATTAGATGTGCAAAAATCAAGAGGACAAGTTCGAATTAAATTTCCGTTCGCCGCAATCGATTCTCGCGCTTATTTACACACTTACACGAGCACAGAGCGCCAGGGCGCACAGTGGATCGAGTCAATAGGTGAGATCGAACAAAATTTGGAAACTGTACACGCTTATAACTCCGTTCATACAAAACTTTGAGGTTCCAAAAAAGGTTCCATTCCTTTCCTCGTAAAATTTTCTACTTGGAGCACCCGTTGAAACGTAAAATGTGACGAAATAAACACCAAAATTTAAAAAAATTCGCACTTCCGACCTCTCCAGTGAAGATGTTGCATGTGCGAGGGATTTGCGATTTGACCATTGATTCTTATGTAAAGAAGTTTGCGAGAAACACGATGGTGCCACTGGTTTTCTCTGAAATCATCTCCCAAGCTCAAAAAAAGCTCTCAAAGTGAGGCCAAAATGGAGGGGATATCCCACGCTATCCTGAGAGTCCATCTCCACATCAAAACAAACTCTCCATGCAAAGATAGGGAGAAAATACATTAGCAGGGTTGCCGTGTTTTCAGTTTTGGAGTCCCTCTGGAAGTCCCCAAATAAAGTGGCAACCCTGCTGATGTATTTGTTCCCTACCTTTGCAGGGAGAGTTTGTTTTGATGTAGAGGTGGACTCTCAGGGTAAGGTGGGATATCCCCTCCATTTTGGCCTCACTTTGAGAGCTTTTTTTGAGCTTGAAGGATGATTTCAGAGAAAACCAGTGGCACCATCGTGTTTCTCGCAAACTTTTACAAAAGAATCAATAGTCAAATCGCAAATTCCTCGCACATGCAACATCTCCATTGACGCGATCCACCGTGCGCCAGGGCGGGTTTCCGTTTCACTCTTCTCCCCCGTGTAATGAAATACGAGTGCTCTATCTTTATGTCAATGGCGGAGACTGGAAGTAAAGTCACATACCGTTCTCGTACATGGAAACGAAGTAAAAGTTTCACGCCGTAAATTCGACTGATTGTTTTTTCCGAGTTTAACCGAGCGATTAAGTGATTAAAACGATCCGCGTTCCATTCGACTCCGAAGAAACGTCTAAAATTTAATTACGGTAAAATTACACAAACGCGCTCTCTCCGAAAAAGCCCCGGAATCCTCTCCATCTTAGGGCGCGATGCTCTTCGTCTATAACGTTGATATCTAATGTTCGAACTCGGAAAGTCGGAATCAAATTATGACAACAGTATTTTGGCTCGCTCTCAAAATCGGAATTAAATATGGGCGCGCCGAAACCCCGTATTTCGAGGGAATCCTTAGCCTAGGGATGTTTCCAGAAATCAAATCAAAGCCTTGCCAAGTTTTCATCCTCGGTATGAGGAGGGGGCCTGGAAAGTGCCGCGAAAGCTGCCCAACGTTTTAACACGGTGAAGAGGCCAGAAGCTACACTGGAAAAAAACACATTGGATCTGGAGTCCGGACTCTTAAAAACACCGACAAGAAAGAATACTCTTGATTCAATCGGATTTTAGCTTGAATCAAGAACCGAGCCTCTTAATTTGAGCGGATTTCCTTTTGATTTAAGCAAAAATCTGATTGAATCAAGAGTATTTTTTCTTGTCAATGTCTTCAAGAGTCTGGACTCTAGATCCAATGTGTTTTTTTTTTTTTTTTACCAGTGAAGAAAAAATAGCGGGTGAAATTGGGTTACGTGGTATTATTGCTTTAAGCTGCTCATTTGGACGTAATGGAGACTTTGCACGCAAATTTTTTTTTTTTGCTCCATCTGAGGGTGCGCTTAATGAGCTGAGTTCGCAGTATTTTTCATAATTTTTTTCTGACATGGAAAATTGGAGAAAAATAGATTTAAAAGTGAGAAAATGTGCCGCCTCATGACTTCATCTGGCGGCATTTTCCGCATTTGAGCAGATGTATTTTAGCAGATTAGGTTATTTTTTTATATTTCCTCCAATAATTGTCAAATTTAGCAACCAAGGATATCCTCGTACTCAGGTTTCCTGGCAGTATCATTTTAAAGATGAAATTTACAAAATTTCAGACATCTGCAAATTCTCTATTATACCAAAAGGGACTATATTCATTGTGACATGAAATGAACCCTGTCTTGCATGAATCCCTATGGATCTCAGGGCTCATGTTAGGATATGGTTCCTTTTGATTTAAATACGTTCATTTAGGTGTTAGGAACATGCGACTCATATCACAATATTGTTTAAACATTTAGTATATTACATTAAACATTACTTCTGAATTGTGTTGCAGGATGGTTCGATTGAATTTGAAGAATTTATCAGAGCACTATCCGTTACGTCAAGAGGGAATCTCGATGAAAAGCTCAAATGTAAGTCGCACTGTAATCTCAATTATTTGAGTCGTACACATTTTGAGTCGTCGAGCACGAAAAATTGCATCACGCAGTTCGTACCAATATGGCAAGGCGCTGCGCCAGCCGCATCGCACATAACAGTCACATTTGGTTTTGTGTGAGGGAATTCAAAGCGCCTTCAATATTTAGTGTATGCAATTCGGCCTGTCGTCGAGCACGAATAGTTGCATTACGAAGTCCATGCCAATATGGCAAGGCGCTGCGCCAGCTGCATCGCACATAACAGTCACATTTGGTTTTGTGTGAGGGAATTCAAAGCGCCTTCAATATTTAGTGTATGCAATTCGGCCTGTCGTCGAGCACGAATAGTTGCATTACGAAGTCCATGCCAATATGGCAAGGCGCTGCGCCAGCCGCATCGCACATAACAGTCACATTTGGTTTTGTGTGAGGGAATTCAAAGCGCCTTCAATATTTAGTGTATGCAATTCGGCCTGTCGTCGAGCACGAATAGTTGCATTACGAAGTCCATGCCAATATGGCAAGGCGCTGCGCCAGCCGCGTTGCACATACCAGTCGCATTTGGTTTTGTACGTGGAGGCATTCAGAGCGCCTTCAATATTTTGCGTATGCAATCAGGGCATGCTTAGGGCGCGAATAGTGGTATCCAGAGATGTATGATAATTCGACACCAGTGCGCCTTCAATGTTTTGCTATGCAACTCACGTACGATCGTAAAGCACGATTAGATCGATAAAGGAAATAAGTAATAGACCTACGAACGGGTTACAGTATCTACATAGACAAAGTGTAGTCATTCCTATCTTAATATTACAAAAAAATTGTGCTATGATTTGATTTGTCTACGAGTTTAAGGCTATCATGATGCCCTTACGATCCTAAAAAAAAAATTCTTCTATCGGTCGACAGGCTTCAAACATTTATCCCCACATTTTCACGTGAAATGGCTCCAGATGTAACTTTGCCAAGTATCTCTTTCTGGAGCAACACAATTTATTTTAGAATTATCATGTTAGCATGAATAAGCAGAAGTATGTTAGTATGCAAAAATCACAGGATCATCCTGTACGTACAATTGAAGCTCGAAACTGTTGCATGCTACAATGAAAAGGAAGAATTGCGGGTATTCCGCGTCTAAAAGGGAACGGATATGTGAATAACAAAAACAATAAATATTAGAGTCTTGAAGTGTTTTGCTTACTTAAGACAAAATACGAATGTTCCAACGACCTAGCTCAAGAATATATCCAACCTCGTGGTAGTAAAGCATGCAATAAAAGACTGCTCTTGGATTTTATTGGCTTCGATTTTGCGGAACATAAAAACCGATCGAATAAATTCAGTGGAAAAATTAATCCTCCACCACCCCCCTTTTGTCTCTTAAATGTTGCCAATTCTGTATGAATTCACCCCAGCAGTAGCGTGGCGTGCTTTGCGATATATCGATTGATCTGCCATTAAAACCTATAGGAAAGGATCAATAGACAGGGTGTTCGCAACGAGCATTCTAACAATCGATTCTCTACCCCAGCTTCAAATGGAGGAATGTCGATAAATCGATCATTAACCGCCCCAAGGGAACAATACCAAATCGAAAATATGGAATAATGCTGACTTCGTCTATCGCCATCATAAAATCGTGTGATCGGCTCCAGTCACCGACGGAAATTAATTTTTGATCTTCCTACTGCTGAAGAAATAAAATTCCGCTTGTTTACGATGGCATCACCACTTAATGGGAGGAAAACATCTCGATTTGCGTTCCGAGGGCTTGACATCGGTGACGGGCTGTAGAAATTGACGTAACAGCGTAACTCGATTTCCACGTGAGCCTTGTCGTACATATAAATCCGTGCTTTCTGGGGCTCAAGCTGAAATTGAGACACGCCTTTGTATTAGAGGAGCGACGAAACGTCAAACACGAAAGGATCCACGGATTAATAACCGCGATTGGTTTCACTGGTCTTGACGAGGTGTTGCCAAATTTGAAATGTTTATTTTCAATAAATTATGTTTTGATGGAAATTAGAGTCCCTTTAAACTGAGAATCAAGACAGCACCCCCTCATGGAGTCACAAACGGGAATAAAGATTACAGAAATTGAACGTTTTTTGTAATCTTTGATCGGCCCATTCTCAAATTCCTTTCTCCGTTCCTCCTCTCATTCCGTTTGTTCCTTGCCGAATTCGTAATTCCCTGGTCTTATAATCTTTGCAATCGGTGAAAATGTAATCTTTATTCCAGTTTTTGACGCAGTGAAGGCTTAAAATACAGGAACCAATCAGAAATGGATTCTCATTGTCTTGACTCTCAGTATGAAGGGACTCTGATGGAAATAAGCTGTACATAATTTTGAAACTTTAGAACAACACATGATTCTGTCGGTAGATAGCACCAGCTGCTAGAATAAGTTAAAAGAAGAAAAAAACTAAAAGTATAAAGTAAAAGTAAAGTTAAAAAGTAAAATTAATTAAGGAACCCTCCACTGACAACAATTTTACCGGAGAGTTCGAATATCTATTCGAAAAACGCAAATTAATCTCGCACCAAAGCTTTGCTAAAACTTTGCTATTGGACAATTCGGAAAATTTAATGACAGATATCGTCCACTTGAGGTTTGCCTTCAGTTTCGCCCTATAAGCAATAAACTTGCCGGGGAGATTAAATAGTTTTCTTTTCGTAACTTTCTGTAATCTGAAGTTCGCCTTCAGTTTTCTGCGTAGGCAACAAATATACCGTCGAGCGCGAATCCGATCAATTTGAAGAACACACATCTAGCTCGCATTATAAAATCAGTCGATTTTTAATCATCCAAACGATTTCTAGGAGTGTTCTGGACGATTATTAGTGGTAATTTGACAAAGGACGGAGGCTTCTTTCAAAATTTTCCGGCCAGACGCCTCCTGAGCCTGTTGTCTCATAACTTCATTTTTGCACTTACTGCTCACTTCGTTATCACGACAGTGTTGGGAAATATCGTCCGTTTAAAGTTCGCCTTCAATTGAGTCGCGTAGGCAACAAATATACCGTTGAGCGCGAATAGTTACCTATTCAAAAAATACACATTTACATCGCGCTCTATGAGCTTCAATGGAACAGATAAACGGCACTGTGATCTCATCTTTAGATATCGTACTTGATGTTGTGCCTGAATACCTTATTTCTGAAAAATAATGCGTCTTTCTTGCAGTTCAGTTCTAATTTTATAGGTAGTTTTCTATCATTCAATTAAAGAAAATCGCATTCTGTAGGTATATAAAGTTAGATTATTTCCCTTCACAAGAATAAAACAGGAGTGGAAATTTTGAAACACCATAATGAAGATGAGTGGTTTGGTTTCTTGGCCATACTGCCGTGCTAAAGAAGAACGCCGTATGAGCCTTCAGACGTTGCCAAGTTTCCTTCGATAAAAATCGAATTAACTGGGGAAAATGCGAATATTATTTTCCAAAATTTTCAGACAATTTTGTACGCAATTTAAGCTTAAATGTTGGAAAATTTAAAGGAAAAATATACATAAATGTTTGCAAAAATACATGTTTTAACAAGGGAAATTTGGCAACTCTCGAATTTTCATTGGGCGTTTTTCCTTTGCACGGCAGCATAGGTTTGCTGATTGGCTGGACTCGACTTCAGGTTTCGCCTGATTACGTCAACTCGACTGTCGGACTTTGTATAGCTTTTTCACCCCCCTCTGAAATACTTTTATTAACAATTCAATGAACTTTTGGGGATTTTCGCGAAATTTTACACATGAAAAACTTCACCACATATTTGTAAAAATCCCTTGGCACCTCCCTGGCCGACGCTACCGTCCTGAAGAAGAACACCATATGAGCATTCAAATATTGCCAAACTGCCTTACGACAAAATATTTATTTTTGAGGAGAGTGATGTACTTAATTACTTGAAATTTTCAGGTATTTTAGATTAAATTGCGAGCAAAATTATCTGCAATATTTGAAGAAAAATATTCACAATTTCTCCAGTACGTTCATTTTTATATCGAATAATCGTGATAATATCGAAAGGCTCATACGACGTTTTTCTTCAGCACTGCATCAGTGCAGCACGATGATAATGATTATCCGATTATTATTTTCGATGATTATCTCGCACCTTTTGGCAATCCTGCAGTCGTCTCTCAGACGCCGACAGACTTCAGGTCACGAAGCTCGTTTCTTGCAAACTTAGGAGAGGGACCGGGACCTGATGGGAGGGGGAGGGGGTAGTAATGGGACGCAGAGTGGAACAACAGCGGCACTGGGTACCAGTGACGAGGCGTAAATAATCGATTATCGATATTTCCCCCTTGCAAAGCTACGGCAAAGAATCGATTATCAAGGTGTTCGTTGCGAACATCCTATATATCGATCCTTTTCCATAGGTTTAAATGGCAGGTCCCAGAACCCCCCCCCCCTCTTGTGACGGACCTGGATGCGTATTATTAATAATAGTTTGTAGTTTTAGCTACTTTTGGTGGCCCTGAAAAGGGCCGTTTTAAGAGGAGGCAGCTTATGCCTAGGAGGTTGACAGAAGTTATTCTACATCCGAAAGAACACTCGATTGGTTAGAACTAGGCGCAGTTGATACTTCAAATTTCGCCTTTGCTGTATCCTCGGATGCGTACATTGATTTCCGTTTCCTGGCCGCCTCCTCGATGCGTTTGTACATGTCAGAAACGAAGGAGTCTAACGCTCTGAGCGTTTCCCCGGAGGCCAGGACTTCCGTGAGCACCTCGCTTAGGAGGTGGTCAATATCTGCATGTGCATGTTTTTGAGCCTTATCTTTCAGCGCTAGAGTTCCGTCGCGATGGTATACATTGCTGGTGGCTTCGTCGGCAACGCGGGTCATGAGATGGTCGAGAAGAGGAACTGTGAGCGGTATGTTATCAACGCATCTCCGATGAAGTTGCTTTGCTGCTTGCGTGATTACGTTGAGAATGGCTTCCGGGCACCGACAAGGGTCTGACCTCCCGTTGCTTGCATTAGAAT